CCAGGCCTGCTAAAGCCCTCTTCTGAGGTTTTAATTCAGGCCAAGAACACCAGCTTTGCTCCTCCTCTTCACTCTTCTGAGATCAAGCTTCCCGCAACCTGGCTACTGTCAGTGCGGCCTCAGAAAAGCTATACTCTTCCAGTCACCTGCAGGCTAGGTCAAAGCCTGGCTACACAATTCCCACTGCATCAAGCCTGCCCTTTGGCCCTGTCCTGCTTCCCTTCAAGACCTCAGCTTCGAGCTGCTCCATTCCAGCCCTCACCCTTAGGACTCCATTCTCACTTAGTGAGTCGGGGGGGGGGGGGGGGGGGCCCCCAGGCCCCAGGCTACCCCATCCCTCTCAAACCAGAAGCCGCTAGACTGCTGGATTCTTCCACAGAGCTTTGTCTAGCCCCAGCATAGCATATATTACAATCCCATCTGTTCTTTTCACTCATTTTGAACCCATTATTCCTGATTACCAAGGTCTTTCTCTGCAGAGGATTTGTGGGTCACACTGGTTTTCTGTGCCTTTATCCCAACTAATGGGGTACTGGAGAGTACTGGACCACATTTGCTAGGGTTCAAGCGAGGTCTCTTGGGCCTCTTAGTTCATTCAGGAGACGGCTGTTGAACACCTACTGTGCTTGGTGCCAGGAGTTCCGGACATCAAATTATTTAGTAGCATTTCTTTTCTCAGCCCAGAAGTGACCACACATGCAAATGAGCCACCTGAGGGGTGAGAGCAGGTCAGAGCCCTGGCTCTGGCTGCTATGCCCATGGCCAGATGGCTCCCACAGTTCTTCCTCCACTGATATGGACTTTAGCCTCACAAGTGAGTCCCACCATATGGGGGGGGGTGTCTCTATCCAGGATCTGACAGTTTGGATGGTAAGTTTCTCTCTGTAGAAGTGGCCTCCATCCTTGCCAGCTGCCTCAGTTTACAAGGTATACTTTAGTGTCTTCACCATGTTCTCTGTATTGGAAGCAGAACCTATCCTGGGGGTCATGATCATTCTGGGAACCAGCAGTAGCCAGGACCCCAGACAGCTCACCTAGCTGGTGAGAGATGCAGCCTTTGTTTCCCCAGGAATAAAGTGGAAACCTGATGAAAATGGGGTCATCACCTTCGACTGCAGAAACCGTGGTTGGTAAGTTCTCCCAGCGGAAGGGTACCCCAGCATTTATCTTCCAGCCTGTGGGCTTTGCCTGGCTTTCTTGCCCCCTCCTCTACCCAAGGCTTAGGGAGGGACTTCAGTGGCTTAATCCAACCCAGGAATAGGAAGACTTGCTAGCTACACTCCTCATTCCCTCCCCACCGTCCAGATCAGCCTGTCCCCAGCTCTGCTCTTGGTAGAAAAGCAGTGTATCCGAGCCTTCTCCTCTCCTCCTTCCTGTTGCCAGGCCCTCTGGGATCCTGACTGCCCTCTGTCAGAAAGAATGAGGCTTACTTCCAATATCACCACCCCAGTAACCTCTGTGCCCGGGAGTTTCAGCACACAATGAAATCTAGGACTAAAGGGACATTGGCCTAAACTTGGGGGAACCCATGGGCCAGACCAAATAAATTCAACTGGAGGCTCTCAGCCAGGTGGCAGTCCCAGCCGTGGCCTCCCTCCCGTTTACCTCTCTTTCTGCTCAAGGTACATACAAGCGGCCACCTCTCCCAAAGACATAGTGATTCTGGTGGACATGAGTGGGAGCATGAAGGGGCTGAGGATGGCTATCGCCAAGCACACCATCACAACCATTTTGGACACCTTGGGGGAAAATGACTTCGTGAATATCATTGCGGTAATGGTGATTTTCTGTTCTGTGGCTGCTCTCACCTGCTCTGGGAAAAATATTCTTTTCCTGAACCAGAAGGGCTTTGTTTCCAGCCATGGGTGCTTCCCACCACAGAGGGGACACTTTCCTCCACTTTGGGGACTCCTGAACTAGCATCCGTGGTCTGCCTGGGGGTGGCTTTACGAGGTCCCTCAAAACACCTAAAATAATATGTGGACGTGCACACCCTCGCTGAAGCCACATTCTCCATCAGTGTCTGACACAGGCCCCAGCAGTGTGGCCATCCCCTCCATGGGCTCCTGGCAGCCTCACTGCTGGCAGCCTCCCCATCCACAGGAGGTCAGATGGGATCTTGGGCCCTTGATGTTACGATTCTAGTCCTCTCACTTTCCTCATCCCATAAGCCTGGACACAGAGGCAGAAAGGAGGTAAAGAGGAGAAAGGGGAGGGCACTTAAAACCCCAACCAACAGCGGGGGGGGGGGGGGGGGGGGGGCACCCCCCTCTTAACCCCCCCCCCCGGGGGGGGGGGGGCGGGGGGGGGTTGTCGTAAATAAATAAATAAATAAATAAAAATAACCCAACCAACCAACAGGCAATGAGTGCAACTCCATGGAAGCAGAGTTGACAGCCAACCTGGGGTGTCATTTTGAAGGCTGTTTGATCCAAAATTTTTTATCAGTCTGCATAGTCGCTGCCATTTCTAGCTGTTAGTGGAGTTTTTGTAGCATGGAGACACGCTTTAGGCAAAGGTTTCTTGCTTCAGAGTGATCATGCTGGGGGATCCGGACCCAGAGTTGCTACCCAAGGCTCAGCTTACCCCTGGCACAGTCCTAACCATCACACTCCCCTGTATTGACTCCCACTCTCATCCCAGGGCCCGTGCCAACAAGATGGCCATAGAAACAGGTTCCATACTCTACTGGGGAAGGGAAGTGCACTGTCCCTCAAAGCCTGCAGCTCTGCCTGCACACTCTGCCCCACTTCCCCAGAGAAACTTCTAGGAAGAAGCCCGAATCCTGCATTCCCAATATGCCCAAAGCTCTTCCTTGGCATAGCTACTGTATCCTCTGTCTTCCCTCTTGCTTAAGTAGAAGGTAGATTAGGGACCCTGAAAATTTGTGTTCTAACTACCAGGAAGATTAAGAAAAGGGGGGTCAGTAATAATTTGTGTTTCTCACTAGACCCACCCCTATGGATAGCTGGATGACCATGTATGCAAAGAGCAAGGGTACATTTGTAGCCTGGTGGCCCACACCTATTATCTCAGCATTCTAGACATTGAACCAAGAGATTTCAATTCCAGGCCAGCCTGGGCTACATAATGAAACCCGTTTTCAAATAAACAATAAAAAGTGGTTTGGAATTCCCTACCCAGGCTGGGGAGGGGCCTCTGCAAGGGAAGCTCTGGGATTGGTAGATTGGCTTGGCTAGTCTGAGTGCCCCAAGGAATTCCCTCAGGGTGTCAGTTCTCAGCACACCCCAGAAGGTTCACCTTACTTCAGAACCAGGATTTGGGGAGCAGTTTTAGAGTCGAGATCCTCTACTTGATTCGTTCAGACACCCCAAGACAGTACTGCCAAGCTGCCCAGGTGAGGCATCTGTTTTCTCTCTATCTTCTTTACTGTGGCTTTCAGTACAATGACTACGTCCACTACATTGAGCCCTGCTTCAAAGGCATCCTCGTCCAAGCAGACCGAGACAACCGAGAGGTGAGTGTTCACCACAGCCAAAGCTCGCCTGGCGGGACAGGGTGGGGGTCTGTGAAGATTCTATACAGTACTCTGCCAGCCACATGGCCCCTGGCAAGAGCAAAGCAAGTCACTCTTTGCATACATGTAGATGGTCATTCTGCTATTCATAGGGGTGGTACCAGGTTACCCTTGACTGTCCACCTTCTGGTTAACCTCATCCTTGGCCCTGCCTTCTAGGAGGAGACATAGATTGGTACCAAGCCATTCACACTTAGCTTCTCTTTGGGCATTTGAGAAACACGGACTCAAGTGATGCGACTGGCTGCCCTGTGGAGCTGGGGTCTTGCAGCCAGGCACCAAGGCCACTTCTAAGCACTCTCCCCAGTTAGGATTCCTGGGTCCACTTGATCTCTAAGCTTCATCTCATGTTTACCCTGACAGCATTTCAAGCAGTTGGTGGATGAACTGATGGTCAAAGGCGTGGGTGTTGTGAGTCAAGCCCTAATTGAGGCTTTTGAAATCCTGAATCAGGTACCGACTGCTGGCGAAGCCTGGGAAGGGGGAGGGAGGGGGAGGCCATGTTACAACGACAGGTTGTATCTATAGTGACAGCTTTGCTCCTGCTCCCTCAGTTCCAAGAGTCCAGACAAGGAAGTCTCTGCAACCAGGCCATCATGCTTATCACCGACGGGGCTGTGGAAGACTATGAGCCTGTGTTTGAAAAGTATAACTGGCCAGACCGCAAGGTAACTGCCACTGCTGCAAGGCAGGGGAAAGGGGGCCTCACCTGACACTAAGGGAGAGTTCTCCTAAACCGTGGTAGTCTTGCATGCAGTACTGCCCCATCTTCAGAGGTCTTTCCCATTAGACCTCTTCACCAGTTCAGGTATATTCTAACTGGTTGTCTGAAAGCTACAGCAACCTGGGCCCAGGGGAAGGATGCATGAGGCTTCAGGGCAAAGGACCAGCATGGTTTTGAGATATAAGAACTGTTCCATGCTCACCAGGACCCTGGCAGTTCATGTTCTCACCAGAGCCTCCAGGTTTTCTCTGACCCAAGAGGGTGCAACTGGAGAACCCACAAGAGAAACATGCATGGCCCTAGATCTAAGCCCATCACAAATGGCAAGGATGCGGCCTGCGGCTGCTGAGGCCATCTCTTGTGACAGGTCCGAGTTTTCACTTACCTTATTGGAAGAGAAGTGACTTTTGCTGACCGCTTGAAGTGGATTGCCTGCAACAACAAAGGTAACTGACTGTAGGAGAGCGCCCCTCGGTCCACACTGCATCAGTGGGGTATCAGTACTTCAGGGCAGGTCTCTGGCCACAGGCCTCTTGAAGGAGCAATACACTGTTTAAAAGTCTGGCCCCCATGCCAACTTGTTAGGAGAAAGCAAGAGCAGGTTTCTCTGAAGCTGGAGGAGACTGCCTGTCACCCCTGCAGGGACTCTAGGCTTATAGTCATCTGAAACGCAAACCAAAGGTCACTTGCCCAGAGTGTACACAAGAAAACTATCTCCTCAAATAAAGCTGTGTACAAATACACAACACAGAAGACAGAGCAGGAGGCAAGAAGGGACCCACGTTTTCAACGTCAGCTCTCTTTTGCCCCGCCTTCATTCTTACTGTGGCAAATTAAGTCACTGACTCTGTTCAAAGACAAAAGCAGAGGGAAGAGAGCCATTTTTTTTTTTTTTTTTGCACACACTGGGGAAATGCATGCATGCATGTGTGCACATGTGTGGAGGCCAGAGGACTTCAGGAGGGGTTTTTTGAAACAGGGTTTCTCTTACCAGCTGAGCTAGACAGGCTGTCTGGAGAGCCTCAGGGATCCACCCATCTCCACCTCCCCAGTGTTGGCATTACAAGGGCAGGCTACCACACACCGCTTTTTTACCTGGGTTCTGGAGATGAGAGTTGTGTCTTCTTGGCAAGTGTTTTACTGACTGAGTTCTTTCCAGCCCCCTTTTTTTCTTTTTTTCCCCTATTTATTTATTAGTTGATTTTTCTGAGGGATATTAAATTTTTATTTTACATCTGTGTATTTATTTAGGGTGTGTGTGTGCACATGTGCATATGTGCTTGCCCCTCTCTGCATGTACCCAAGCACATGCATGTGATGGGGGTCAGAGGACAACCTGTGGAAGTCAGTTCTCTCCTTTGAACATGCGGGGTCCAGTGACTGAACCTGTTAGGTTGTCAGATTTCTTGGCAAATGCCCCTACTCAGTGAGCTAGCTTATCAACCCCATTTGTTAGTGTTATGAGACAGGCTGTCTCTGTATATGTCAACCTGACCTCAAGTCTTAGTGACCCTCCAACCTCAGCCTCCCAAGTGCTGGGATTTCACATAGAGGTTACCACACCCAGCAGGTCAGCATTTTCTCTGGAATGTTTTGTGTACCCAACAGCTCTCCTCTATGTGGGATCAGAACCCAAGACCTGGGCTTGCAATGTGATTCTGTTTATTCAACAGAAATTTACTGAGCATGTACTTTGCACCCGGTGCTGCTTGAAGGCTGTGGATCAAGGGTGATGGGCTAAATGGGCTCAGTCTTGATCTTGGCATAGCTAGCACTTCAGTTGCAATAGGATGGGATTGTGTTGCGACGGCACCGAGGCATGGGGCAGGCAGGGTGTGGGGGAACAGTGGGAAAGATACTTTCCAGCTTGGGGATTATGAGGAAAGGTCTTGCTCATGGAGGAAATAGCATTCTCCAGGAGGCTGAGGCAAGAGGCGTGGAAGGAAGGAAGCTGTCGCATTTCACTGGCTTATGGAAGGAATGGCCTGGGAAGGTGGTGGACAATGAGACCAGAAGTTATTAAACCATTCACAGCCTCATTAGCCAGGTGCCCTTTCCAAAAGCAGAGAGACTATCCTGAAGACAATAAAGCAACCTGCTCCGTCGCCTGAGGGAGAATAGTGATGAGGGAAATCAAGAGCTTTGGACACAGGAGGACAGGAGTCACCATCTTGCTAGGGTCTCTGAACAGATTCTCAGAGAGCATGCAAGTGGGGACATGTTGGTGAGCACCACTGCTGAAACTGAGACCCCAGCTAGGAGCACCCAGCAGCTGGAAGTATGCATGGGCCCTACGCAGAAACCAAGGGGAGACTCTCCTTCGCATCCTCTGATCACACAGCCTTGCCCTCTCCAGGCTACTACACACAGATCTCTACACTGGCCGATGCCCAGGAGAATGTGATGGAGTATCTACATGTGCTCAGCCGCCCCATGGTCATCAACCACGACCATGACATCATCTGGACAGAGGCTTATATGGACAGCAGGGTGAGCATGATGGCTCCGGTGGGCAGAGTTAAGGGGAGGAGCAAGAGGAGACTTCTGGGTCAGGAAAGGCCAATATCATGTCTCCACAGGAGGACTCATGAGGGTGGTGAAAGCTGCCCATGCCCTCCCTCCCCTAGCAGACCTCATCCCACTACCAGCTTTGTGCCCAACTGCCCCCAGAGGCCTAAATACCTGCCCAAAATATGCCCACCCCTGTGTTCACTCTGCATTACTCCCCTTATTGTCCTCTCCTACCTGCCATGGGAAGAAAAGGTTCACACCAGTGATTTGCCATCCTGCAGCTCCATCCTGGTGCTTCCTGCATTGTAGAGTCTGGAAGAAGCAATGCCTTACACAGAGGGAGACATATCAAAGACAGGAGGTCAAAGAAGGTGTTTGGATGAGGGAGACATTTCTGCCTCCTCCCAAAAATCACATCCCATATGGAGCCACCTGCCTTTATGATACATACAGACTAGCATTAGCGCCTGACAACAGTGACTTAGATAAGACAAAAGTGAAGAAGATGCTTAGATGTTGTGTGGTGGGCATCTCAGAGCTGATGAGGCTCCTGCACACAGGGAGCCAGGCCCCTTCCTGCTGCCATTTTCACTCCCCAGACTGAGCGCCTCCTTCTGGTTCCAGGGGCTGATGGTACAAGGCCATGCTTAGCTGTTTAAAAAGGACTGCTCAGGGGTCATCCTGGCTCATGCACTTAACTTACCTCTTATTGACCAGAACTCAATCCTATGCTGGTTTCCAAGAAGCAGAGGTGGCTGAGGAGGCACACGTTCAGCTTTTCTTCTTCTGTTCTGAGTCTAAGGACAGGGGCACACTTACTCTAGCATATAGCAGTGGATATAAACCATCTTGCCAAGCTGGGAACAAAAGCCTCAGAAGTCCATCCTAAAGTCCCTTCATGGGAAGAGGGGCAGTTGACCAGCTCTAGTGGGCTCTTCCCTGAGGTACTGCCCAGGAGATGTCATCTGTCCCACACTGATAGCCACTCCTTGAGCTGAGGCCACAGGGCAGAACCTTGTCCATCTAGGTAGGTGACCCTCTATTGTCCAGTGGCCACTGGCCATCTGTCCCAGAATGCAAAAGTAGAAAGAGGGGCAAAAAGAAGGCAAGAAAAGAGAGGCTAAGTTCTGCTTTGATGTTGTCTTGACTTCCCCACATTGCAAGCTTACACTCGTCCCTTCTTGCTTGTTGCTCTTCCATCCATCCATGGACTCCACTCCCAGCCCGCCATGTGCTCCATGTACCTCTCACACGTGGGAGTATTAATTAAGGTCATGCTGAGGACCCGGCAGAAGGAAGTCTAGAACTTGAAATTCAGTGAAAGGAAGATGGGCCTCGGATAGTGGTGGTCAGACATGAGTCTGGTGGAGGGCTGGGAAGGAGAGGACAGTGGCAGAGACAAAGCCTCGCTTCGTTAAGCCACTGTGCAAAGGATTTTTGCCCACCTGGGCTCACTCCTCTTCTGATCTCTGCCCTTTCTTCCCAGCAGCTCTTCACCTCAGAAGCCCAAAGCCTGATGCTCCTCACCACGGTGGCCATGCCAGTCTTCAGCAAAAAGAACGAGACGGTGAGTGGCTGCTTCCCATGCATCAATCAGCACATAGGTTAAATCCCAGGCCTGAGCTTCACAGCCGGCTGCCAGGGTGGGATGCAGATTCCCAAGCCCAGTCCTGGGCCAGCCTTGCAAGGACCTCCTGGTGGGGCTGAGGGTCCCTGCCTTCCCAAAGCTCCCAGCCTGGGGGGGAAGTGGTGCTGCCCGCTGCTCTGTTCTTAAGACAGAAGGCTGTGGGATCTTCTGCTGGCTTTCCAGATTAATCACACTTAAATAGGCAGAGTGGGTAGACTCTGGCTTGTACATGAAGGCCTCTAGTGAAGGGATTTCCAGAGCTTCCCATAGTCTGCTTGGTCAGAAAATACTTCCTTATGAGTCACTTATGCTAGAGAGGCTACATAAGTTATGGTCCTTCTGTTTCACCCTCTGGTATGAACATTAATATTTCACTTAGCTTTGTATTTCATTTAAATGTTACTACTTAAATATTAATACAGGGCATTAATCTTCCTAACAGCTCAGCTTGCCCCTGGGGCCTCCTCTGACAGTCTACAGTTTTGTTTGGGGAACACAGCCTACAACCTAACTACAAAGGAAGATCAGTAATGTTTCCTCTCCCAGGCTCTGGGGAGCCCTAGAGTCTAGTGTGAGAAGCCCAGTTTCCCTGAGCCTTGCATTTTTCCTTCTAGCGATCCCATGGCATTCTCCTGGGTGTAGTGGGCTCTGACGTGACCCTAAGAGAGCTCATGAAGCTGGCACCCCGATACAAGGTGAGCCTGAGTGGGATCCCTGGGTGGCGGGGGGTGGGGGTGGATGGGTAAACCACAGCTTTCCATTGTTGTGATAAAATATCTGGAAAAATCAGCTTAAAGGAAGGAGAGATTTGCTTGAGCTCGTCATTTCTGTGACTTCAGTCATGGTTGTTTGACTGGAGACCAGTAGGGGGAAGCATGACAGTGGCTCGGTATGATTTGTATGTAACCCACTGATAGGAGCTGTGTCTTCAATCATACTGTCCCCAACCCCTTCCCTACCTCGCCATCTAACACAGCTAATGCCTCAACTCTTTACTTTGGCAGCTTGGGGTACATGGATATGCCTTTTTGAACACAAACAACGGCTACATCCTCTCTCATCCTGACCTCCGACCTTTGGTAGGTACAGATCTTTGCCTTGAGAGCCTAACAATATGACATTTGGGGACAGTTCACAAAAATGGTTAAAATTCATTAGACGGTACAAGAGAAAAATGGACATCATTATACCTGTTTTCTAACTAATTATTATCTAGCAGGATGTACATGGAAAAACCCATGAAACCACACCAGAGAGTAGGTAATGCAGGCTGGGGCTGTGAGAATGGAGCCCTGCAGGACAGTCTGCTTTCCATTACTGTAATGAACATCTGAGATCACCGTCTCATAAAGAAAGAATTATATCAATCGATGGCTGGTTGTGCCTATTGCTTTATACCGTGGTGGGGTACATGTGGCGTAGCATGATGGGAACATGTGACAGGGTGACCCTGTTGCCCCAGGCAGTAAAGTGAGACAGAAACTCCAGTCCCATAAACCTCTTTAGGGATGTTAAACCTCTCACTAAGTTTCGTCTCCAAACTCCACCATTTTCCAACCATGCCATGCTAGCACCCAGCCTTCCACATAGAGGCCTTGGAGAGCTGTTTGAGAGTCAAACAATGACGGAGAGATGGCTCCGCAGTTAAGAGTACCTAGGATCAGTTCCCAAAACCCTTTTCAGCCAGTTTATAACCCCCTGTAACTCCAGTCCAGAGGGTTGACACCTCTAGCCTTCATAGACACCTGCATTCACATGTACATAACCATACCCAAACACACACACACACACACACACACACACACACACACACACACACACACAGATAGAAATAAATCATTATACAAGCCTAATCACCGCAGACATTCATCACAGGCCTTCTGTCCCAGTGACTCTGTCCCTCCTACAATCTGACAGATGGCCCAGCAGAACCCCCAGAGGGCCACAATGAGAATGTGAGCAATGAGTTCACAACAAAAATAGCAAGGCCCTCTCACAAGGACAGTGAATGGCCCCCTGAGCTCGATTTTGATGCTGCCCAGGGTCCCTGTCACCCTCTGACTTTGTCCAGGGGCTGTGGGCATTTTTACATGAGTCCCCTGAGCACCTGGTATCTGAAAACTCTGCCTCCAGGCCATCAACACTGTCCATAGCAGCAGTGGCCACACAGCTGGTATGATGGCTAGAGAGGTAGGAGGAGCTAAAGTCCTGGAGGCAGCTTAAACCTACTCCTCTTCAATCCTCCAAGGAACCCAAGACAAACTTGAATAGCAGAATTTACGAAGGTGCTTCTCTGCCCCAGGACTCATTTGAGGAGACCAGCTGAAGCAAGGCACATGCCAATCAGCTCAAGTGATACTGAATATCCCGAAGACATGTGACCAAGCCACTTAAGGCAAATTGTGAGGTTCAGAATTCACGTTGCTCTATCCCCTTTGTCTTCCCAATTCAGATTCGGCAGGGCATGTATCTAAACCCGTAACGGGTGGTCTTAACTAACAGGGTCTTGGGGGACTGACACTAACAAACTTACTGTGAGGGAGCACGCAGGTTGATCCCAGTGTTGACATATAGAATGAAGTGGCATGGACCACAAGCCCGCCTGTCAGCATCCATCTAGACAACTCACAGGAATAACTCACCAGCCAGTTCTTGCTGTGGACCTACTGTGTGCCTAATATCACCCTACTGGTAAGAGTGCCGTAAACACAAGGGCCTATCTAATTTAGAAAAGAAAATGCATAAAGGCACATGGCAGGCAATTGCTTACCAAAGGACACAGTAAGGCTAGTGCCACATACTATGTAGGGAAAGTGCTACCAGGAAAACAAAAGGCATGATTTCAGAAATCAAAATAATAGTGGATACTCCTAGCAATGGAAGTTTTTTTAAAAAAAAAAAAAGGTCTAGAGGCATGCTGGAGGCCTTTCTGTGTCAATGCCCTAACCAAATGAAATTACACGTTTATTCTGAGAGGCTAAGGTCTGGCTACAATCCATTGGGTATAGTCAGGACTTAGGAAATGGCACTGCGATGTTGCCAGAGAGACACTCGGGTATGGGAGGTCAGGGAAGCACTGTCTGGAGAGTGTGGACATCGGGAAGGCTGACAACAGAGCATTGTGTGGGCCATGGGCAAGAAGACAAGGGGCATAGGGTCAGTGTTGTGACAGTCATACTATAATCAGGCCAGAAGAAAATAAAGCACAAGTAAATGAAACAGCTAGCAGAATACATGCAACAGCAGTGACTCCAGTCACCCAAACATCTCCTGGGGACCCCGCTTTCCTTTACCGATGGCTTTACTAAATTAAACCAGGGAAGTACCACGGGTGTCATTATAGATAACGATGGTATCTGTCAGGAGAGGGAGAGACAGACAGACAGACAGAGACAGTGACAGAGCCAGAGACAGAGAGACAGAGAGAGACAGAGAGAGAATAAAACCTGTGAGAGGGAGAAATAACAAGAGAATAATGCCTCTGGGAGAACTGGCTCATGGATCTGTGTCAAATTTTGGACCAGGTGATTATTAAGTACTGTTAATCTGCCCTTGGATCTGACCAATTAAACAATCCATCAAGATGAAATGTTTCTGCAGATGCCTTAAAATCTGGAAGAGAAAATGATTGCTCAGAAAGTATTCTAAAATGATCATCAGAGATTAACAAGATGAAATGTATGAGAAATAGGTGGGTGCTCTGCAAACTGAGCACCCACGTGTGGGAGTGTGCCACATGAGAACGCCGAGGGGATTTGCCGGGCTAATGGTGCCATCTGGGCTGCAAGCTGGCCTGGCTGTCCATGCAGCCAACAGAAACAGTCAGAGCTGCACTGTGCTTCAGTCCACAGAACACACCTCTCACCGCCTGGCTAGCCTCCGTGTGCAATACTGAACTCTTCCCTGGCAGCTCCATTTTCGGGGTGACATTGACAGAGTTGAGCATCTTCAGAGGGCTGAGTTATTTTCAGACTGGAGATGTTTAGCTGGAGACAGTCAAGTCTTAGGAGTGACAAGATGGAACATCCCAAGCCTTGTCAGGAGGCGCATATTCTGGATGGTTCCAGAAGAAAACCGACAACAATAAGTAAAAGTTAGAAGACAGGTTTGAACTCCACGGGAGGGAGAACTTCCTAGTAATAAGAGCTGTCCAAAAACTGACAGGCTGTCTCACAAAATAGGGAGATCCCTGGCATGAGACGTGTGCAACCCTCAGGAGGCCATCTGTGGCACACATTGGGCACGGCAGGTTTGCACTGAGTAAAAGTTTGGCCTGGGTTATCCTGGGAGATCACGGGATGCTTTAACTTTATGATGGTATTTGAAAGATTTTAGAGTAGAGGGAATAGGGTGGATGCTAACCCCACCTTTTCATCCTGTCTGGCCCACTCCAGTACAGAGACGGCAGGAAGCTGAAACCCAAACCCAACTACAACAGTGTGGACCTCTCAGAAGTAGAGTGGGACGACCAAGCTGAAGCTGTGAGTAGAGAGGCAAGGAGAATGAGAAGCTACTCACCTACTCAGCCCTGTAGCCAGCAGGCTAGCCCCGGGTGCACAGGGAATGCTGGGGCTGTTGGACAGCTCTGGGCCCTTCGATTCTTTCTGCAAGTATGGATATCCAGCCGTGACCCTTGACTCGCATGGGAGACTGAGCCAGGCTGAAATTGTGCTTACCAGCCCAGCATGGTCTCAGTGTTGTACTTAGTTTCCAAATTCCATATCACATCCTAGAGGAAATTATGTCTCAGCAACACAACACTGTATCCCAGAGCAGCCATCCCCTCAGAACACTGCCTCAGTGAAAGCCCAGAACTGAGAGCCAGCGGTACCTAGACCCAGGTCCATCTTTCCTCCTAGAGTTCTCTGCTCAGAGGAAAAGGGAAGCGCCAGTGATCCTAAGACATGGTCAAAGCCCCAAATGTCCCTGCTCCAGGTGAACAGACACCAACTCCCCCTTTTTTCTTCTTAAAGCTGAGAACTGCCATGATCAACGGGGAAACAGGTTCTCACTCCATGGACGTGAAGGTGCCACTGGACAAAGGGGTAAGGAAGCAGAGACAGTGCCCATGAGGTCCCAGCAGACAGCACTGAGCCTGGGCTTGGATTTTACTGTGGCCTTGGGAGTGTGAGGAGAGAGGAAAGGTGGTGAGGGGTAGGAACTGTGCTGTTGATCTCATTGATACTCTATTCTTTTTTGGTTGGTTGGTTGGTTTTGGGTTTGGGTTTTTTGGAACAGGGTTTCTCTGTGTAGCCCTGGCTGTCCTGGAACTCACTCTATAGACCAGGCTGGCTTCAAACTCACAGAGTTCTGCCTGTGATGCTCTGCATGTAGAGACCCCGGAGTAGGGAGGTTGCCCCAGTCACTCCAGGTTCTTCTGTCCTCCTTCCACCGCCTGCTATTTGGCCCTTTGGTTGTTTGTGATAAAAAGGGAGAAGGTGACAGTTAATTTTGCAAACTGCCAGCAGCTCTGCTAAAACGTGTCACATGGGGAAAGGTTGGAAATACTCATTACTCCCTATCGCTGATTTTTATTCAAACACAGAGAATGGAAGCAAATACCCTTACTACAGAGAATCAAAACCAGAAACCCCCACTATCTGTTCAGACCTGTGTGTCATCTGAAAAGGCCATTTCATCTTCTCACTTAAAAGATCCTGATGAGTCCTCTGAAGTCACATCATCTGTTGACATATTAACAAATGTCACTTCCTCCCATACAACCACCCCTACACATCCTTCATTACCCACCTGTCTCTGCTCAAAGAACATAGCATCTGTCTGTAGCAACTAGACCTGAGTCCTTCCCTACACACAACTCTCCACAGAGGCCAAACTGAGAGGCGCTGGCCAGTGTCCCTTCTAGACAGGAAACTGGTCTCCACTAGGACTGCTGTGGGACTTCTGCCTCATCAGACACACTGGGAATGTCAGTAATGTCAGGTCACCTGAGATAACTCATACCAAAAGAGTCATGGTCCCTTCCCTGTGCCTTCAACATGCCCTATGGCTTCTGTCAAGGTATACAGTGTGACAGGACATTGAACTTAGCATGAAAAGCCTAATGTGCACATGCCCACTTAACAGCCAGAAAATCTGTGCTATGTCCAACACACTAACCCACCCAGTGGGTGGAGTGTCTGTTCACCCTTTTCTCCCAGGGTCCAGGGTTATCTCAAGGCATCTCCATCCTTCTCAAAGCTACCAGGCAGAATCCTAACCAGAAACAACAGTCTGAGCTTCTATGGATACTTCCTGCCTGAGAAATTTGCTCATTGCTACCTGAAACATGCGCGCATCAGAGAAGCAGGATGGTGGTGGTGGTGCTGGTAACTGTGATGCTTGCTTCTTAGGACACAGCTACCCTGTCTTCCTCCTGCTAACACCACCGATAATGGCAGTCCAGATTTATCAGAAGAGAGACTGGCCACAGCACAGATGCCCATTTATTCAGCCACCCTATGGAGGCAGGTTTCTTCTTATCTACATCTTACAGATGGAGACATCAGAGAAGCCAGAAACTAGCCTAGGATCATGGAAAATCACAAATTCTAGACTCCAGGCCTTTGAGCTCTGGGTGCTTAGAGTGCCAATCTCAAAGACCTTCCCAATGTCTGGAAAAACATATCTTTTTTATAAAATTAGATTATGGAGTATCAGGCTTCCTCTAATGTAGGCATTTCCTACATTGTTTTAATTAGTCCTCCCCACTTTCCCTCCCCCATCCTCCTGCCCCCATCCATGGTTCCTTCCACTTTTGTATCCATTGCCCTATTACCCTCTCTACCTCTCTCCTGAAAGTCTCCTTTCCCCTTTCATGTGCCCCTTTCTGGTTTCCTAGACTCTATACACACTTGCTCTCTCATAGATGCACACATATGTGTGTGTTATACATTATTATATAGTTTTATATCATACGTGTGTAATGTAATTATATATGTATATACACATATAAATCATATGCATACACACACACATATATATGCATATATATAATTAGAAGCTAGGATACACATGTGAGAGAAAACACACACTATTATTTTTCTTTCTGGGCCTGGGCTACCTCACTCAGTATAATATTTTCTGGTTCCATCCTGCCCTTTCTGGCTCGTTCCATTCCTTGCCCGTGACCCTGCCCATCTGCTCCATATCACATGTATTCCATGATCCTCTTTTCCCTCCCTCCTCTACCATGCTGCCCATCCCCTCAGGCTTCCCTTTCAAGTTTCATAACCTTCGCACACAGACACATAAATATACACATTTATATAGACACCCACGTGTCATTTTAAATCTAGATCCCACATGAGTGAAAACAGAATATTTGTCTTTCTTAGTCTGACTTATTTCACTTAGCATGATCTCCAGTTCCATTCATCATGATTTCACTTTTCTTTAAGGAGTTCCAAAATTCCCGTGTGCGTGCGTGCGTGCGTGCGTGCGTGCGTGCGTGCGTGCGTGCGTGCGTGCGTGCGTGCGTGCTCAATCATCTGTTGATAGAAATCTGGGCTGGTTCATTTCTTAGCTACTGTGAACAATAAACAAAGAAGGACAGGTACCCTTGTGGTGCATTGACTTAGATTCCTCAGGCACACACCCAAGGGTGGTATGGCTTGGTCATATGGCAGTCCTATGTTTAGTGTTTTGAGAAATTGCCATACCAGTCTCCATAGTGACAAGACAAGTTTACATTCCCACTGGTGGTGTATACTGATTCCAGTGTTTGGGTTTGTGTTTCTTTTTCTTGGAGAGAGGTGGTTCTTTACATGGTCTAGATATTAATTCCCTGACTAATTTGTAATTGGCAAAGATTTGTCCTCATTCTGTGGACTGTCTCTTCCTGCTGGAGATGGCTCACTCTGCTGTGTAAGTCTTTTAATCCATGTGGTCCATTTGTTAGTGTTTAGGGTACTTTTCTATGCCATTGGAGTTCTTTTTAGAAAGTTCTCCCTGTGTCTGTATCCTGAAGTGTTTCCCTGATGTGTCCTCCAGCAGTTTCTAAGTTTTAGATCCTACATTAAAAGTTCTGATTTGTTTTGCATTGACTTTTGAGCAGAGAGAGCTACACAAACCTAATTCCATTAACTTGCATATAGAAACCCGGTTTCCCCAGTACCCTTTGCTAAAGTCTGTCCAATGTATGTTTTGATGCCTTTGTCAAACATTATGTAGCTGTGTGGACTGATCTCTAGATTCTCTCTTCTGCTCCATTGGCCCTCATGTCTGTGTTTGTGCTGCTAACCATGGTGCCTTTGTTACTATAGCTGTAATGTAAGTTGTGATACCTCCAGCATTGTTCTTTCTGTTGATGATTGTTTGAAATAATCAAGTCTATACCATTGTGGTGGTTAGAATAGGCATAGCCCCACAGACGCATGTGTTTGAGTGCTTGGCTTATAGGGAGTGGCACTATTAGGAGGTGTGGCCTCATTGGAGTAGGTGTAGCCTTGTGAAGTGTGTCACTGTGGAGGTGGGCTTTGAGGTCTTACATGCTCAAGCTACGCCTAGTGTAATACACAGTCTCCTTCTGTTACCTGCAGATCAAAATGTAGTACTCTTAGCTACCTCTTCAGCACCATGTCTGCCTGCATGGTGCCATGTTTCCACCATGATGATAATGGACTAAACCTCTGAAACTGTAAGCCAGCCTCTATTAAATGTTTTCCTTTGTAAGAGTTTGATCTGAACTGGAGATAATATATAAAATGAAGAATTCAGAATAAATATGCTGCATCAAGAAAAATTCTCTCACAATAAATAAATGTAAATAAAACAAAAAAAAGTTGCTGTGATCATGGTGTCTCTTCACAGCAATAGAAACACAAACTAAGACAATCAGTTAAGGTTCTCCAATGGAACAGAATTGATAAAATGAATCTATATTATGAAAGGAAATTTATTAGATTGGCTTACATAATAGAAGACAGGTAGCCCAACACTGGCTAAAACACTGAGAACCCAGTCCATAAGACTGGCTGCCCCAGCAGTTCCAATCAGATGATGAAGGCTGGAAGGCCAAAGATACTGGTTTCTGGTGTCAGGAAAGGATGGTGGCAGCAGCAACAACAGAGTAGATGCACACATAAGCAAGGAGAAAATGTGGGCAGGCAAAGTACAGAGCTGCTTCTCCCTCAAACCTCCTTTATATCTGAGCTGCTGACAAAAGGTGCTGCCCCCTTCAGGGCAAACTCTTCCACTCTCAGATAATCCTTCCTGGAAATACCCTCACACACACACACACACACACACACACACACACACACACACCTAGAGGTACATCTCTTGGTTGACTCCAGATCTTATCAAGTTGACAACCACATTTCACCATCAAAGGGTCTTGTTCACATCTTTGTACATTGTAGGATTGCTTTCCTAGTTCTATAAAGAACATAATTAGCATTTTTTAAGGTTGATTGACTGTGTGTGTTTGTGTGAAAAAATTCTCAACAACAAACCAAAATCAGGAACATATTAAGATCACAGACTGCAGCAAAGTTGCTTTCATCCTAGGAATGCAAATCTGGTTCAGCATACATAAATCAATAAATGCAATACATTATATAAATGAGCTTAAGGATAGAAATTATATGACCATCTAGATAGATGCAGAAAAAGCATTTGACAGAGTTCACCATAGCTTCATAATAAGGGTATTTGGGTGATCTGAATGAGAATGGCCCCATAGGTTCGTATGCTTGAATTCTTGGTCTCCAGTTAGTGGAGCTGTTTGAGAAAGATTAGGCCTTGTTGGAGGAGGTATGTCAGGATGTAGCTCTTAGTTATGCTGCTCTAGCATCATACATGCCTACCCATGTGCCGCTATATTCCGCATCATGCTGATAATAGAATAACCCTCTTAAGCTGTGGGCAAGTTCCCAACTAAATGCTTTCTTTCATAAGAGTTGCCTTGGTCGTGGTGTCTCTTCACAGTCATAGAACAGTGACTAAGACAGTACTGAAGAATTGGGGACAGATGGAGTGCTTACAAATTATAAAGGCCAAATATGGCCAACCTATAACCAGCATTATACTAAGTGGGTAGAAA